GTGTGTGTACGTATGAAAGAATCACAGCCAAGCACGCGGAGGGACACCGTATCCGAGGCCGCCTCTCCGGCTTGCGATTCTGTGCAGCAAAAAAAGGTGCCCCGGTCAAGCTCCCTGATAGATTTTATTGCACTTAAGAAAAACAAAATCAAAATAAAGTAAAAAGCTTTGAAGTCCTAACAACCTACCGAAAGACCCTCCCTTACTCGGGAAGGCGGTTTCCTCTGGTCAGTCTATGCAAAACAATAATGACAACAACAACAACATCAATAATAATAATAATAATAATAATTTTGCTTAAATTATAGAGATTAGTACCGGTAAATCTCTGGTGGAGAGTTCGCTTCACGTTAGCAGGGAGTAGTCCGTCACAGACAGGAAAAATAGATATATACATATTTATATATATATTCTCAATTCCTGTGAGAAGTTTGGAGGGGGGGGTTTCAGTGATCACAGTGGGATACTGGATATCAGAAAGGGGCGGGGGGGGGGGCAGGAAGCTCAGGGGGTCGGTTCCTCCTGACACCAAAGTTTGCAAAGGAAACGCAGGATGTTTTTCCTCACCCGCAGGATGTTTTTCCTCACTGCGTCATTTTAGAATTGTGGAGGAGTCTCTCTTTGCGCCTGCTCCTGGGCACGCTTCTTTCCTCGAAGAGGGGGGAAGAGAGAGAGAGAGAGAGAGAGACTCCTGTCTTTGGGACTACCTACAAGACCTTTCACACCCGACTTTTCTGCTCGCCCGAAAAAACCTCCAAGGTCTCTTTCCCACGCTCTTTCTTCCCCCTCGACCCGATAGGATGTGATACAGGAGGAGAAAGACGGTGCAGGGGTTTTCCCACCGTCCTTGAAAATTCGGCTTCTCTCCCGTGGGCAACAGCGCTGTATCCTGGGGGGGGGGGGTTTCCCCAAAAAAAAAAAGAAAAAAAGCCCTTTCCCTGAGAAATAGTCAGCCCCCTCCCCACAAACTTTCCGCAGCAACCCTCCAGTTTTGATACTGAGGAAGAAACCAATTTTGACCAGGGGGGGAGGGGGGCTTTCCTGCCACGAGATTCATTCCCCCTTCCCCCCCGAACTGTACACAATTTTTAATAATGCTTCACGATTCAGCAACTGGTACAACCCCCCCACCGCACTTTTTTTTTTTAATTAAGGAAAAGAAACTTTGGTTTGGAGGTGTTCGACCTCGCTCTTAAAAAAATAAAAAGAATGTTACTTTGAAGGGCCCCGGGGTTAAGAGGCAGCTACACGTCCTTTGGGAAGGATCAGATTTCCTATTCGACTGTTCGTAGTGAGATGCCCCGGCTAGGTTCCCGATCTGCCCCTCGGGGGACGTGCAGGAACCATGGGGATAAGCCAGCAACATGAAGAGGGGTGGGCAACTTAGAAACAGCAACGACAAAAAAGGAAACGATAAAGCAACCCCACACATCAGCAGCATCCTAAGAGACTTCTTGTGTCCATCTGGCGCCTGGTGTGAAAGAGGTCGCTCTCCCGCACTGCACAGGATACCTTGACCGAGACTGTTAGCCGCTTTGCCGACACTGCTGTGGCTGTCTACCAAAGAGTCCAGCAGCGTTCGGCTTGAAGAGTCTTCCTAGGAGGTGTGCCGAGGACGCCTTTCATTTGCCCTCCAAGACGAGAAGCGGGAAAGAACAGTTGAAACCACACTAACTTCTCCTGTTGGTAGCCAATGGGTGCAAATGGCCCGCCCACGTGCAACAGGGCCCACGGCCGCCCGGCCTCGTCTTAGTGCAATTGCTCCCCGAGGGACGAGAGCACAGTTGCGTGTGCGCAGGAAATCATGCCACTGTTCTCTCTTCTTCTTTTTGTATTTGGTGAGACTTCCAAAATTTGGGGGGAATGAAGGGGGGGGCCCTCTGCCAACTAGGAGGAGGCCAAGTGGTTCTGAAAAGTTCACGGGCAGAAGGAAAACTGTTCTCATTCGGTTGTGATAAACAGACAAACAAACGGGGAAAAGAAGGACACAGTTATGAGGAAACCGAGAAAATAAATAATCATCTGTGCTGTGAACAGCAGCTTGGGTCGACAGAAGATCTGCAGCAATGGCCCGATGGCACCGCCAGCCCCGATACAGGAGAGCCGCTGCTATCTCCCCGCAGTCTTGGGAAATGGGTTCTTCTGGAACCTGCGCGGCACTCGTAGTGCAGACAAAGCAAGAATACAGCGCCCACTCCCATTCATTTTTGGGTTTCGTTTTATAAAGTCCGTCTTTAACCCGTTCATCCATAATTCACAAGTCTGTGTCCTTGCAGTTTAACTTGGAAGAGAAACTCCGGAAGGAAAAAAACCTGCAAGGCCCCCCCCCCCCCAGGAGGGGCGGTGTGTGTGGAGGGGGGTCAGGCTTCAGAGCCGGACAGAGACAGTGAGACTTCCGCACTGTCCTCAAAGCGAGGAAGCTTTTCTCTTGGTCAAGGTCTTCTCGACTTTTCTCCTTACCCTGAGGAGCGCCCCCCCCCTCCTTGCTTTTCTCGGAGGGAAGATGAGTCGAGAAGAAACACGTGGGAGGGGGGGAGAAAGAAACACAGTAGCTGAGATTGTGAGCACAGCTGTTCCGCCAAAAAGAAAGGCGAGGGGGGGGGAAATAGGGGAGGGAGGGGGAAATCACATTGGCCTCTGTATTGCAAACTCAGCGTTTTCTCCCCCCCCCCCCAGTATCACATGGTGAGGAAAGGGAGTAGAACTATACAGGTGCTTCCCGAGACAGAATCCGCTTATGCGGGACGGCCCAGAACTGAAAAAGAGGAGGGGAGGAAGGGAAGAGAAGAGACATTCGGAGGATCAGACTCAGAAGGTCGGAATCACAGGACATTCCCTTGATCCCCCCCCCCCCGCACTTTGTTGATGCTTACATTTAAACAATTACCGAAATGTCAATACGGGTGTCGCTTCCCGCGACCGCCTATTGCGGACCGTCGGACCTCAGAGTCCCTCTGCAGCGCAACCTCACTCAGCGCCCGAGGACCACGTCCTGCACCCTAGTTCTTCAGCCCCCCCCCCCCAGTTCTTTCCCCACCGCTCTGGACAATGGCAACCCCTCCCCACTTGAAACCGTCCCACACAGAACCCTGTGGATTCTTCCACCATCCAACCTGACTCCACTCTGGCCCGTAGCCAGGATATTTTCCTCCCGGGGGGGGATTTAAATTTTAAGGGGGCCGTCAAATCACAGTTAATTAAATTAACCTGAATGCCTTGTTAAAAAATCAAATTAACCCGAATGCCTGTTTCTAGCCCTTCCTTTCGAGGGACAGGTCAGCGAGCGCATCAGTTCCTAGAAAAAAAAACACAGCTCAGAGGGCATTTGATTGCCTTCAGAAGGCATTCAAATGCCTTTTGAGTTCCCTCCCGCAGGGCAAGAAAGCTCAGAAGGGCGCCTTCGATACATCTCCAACAATCCCCCCTTTTTGCTAGCCCAGGACCACCTAGGTCATGGTCGAAAATAAGGTTTCTGGCATGGCTCTTTGCCCCACCGTAGCGACAGGGCCGGCTCACTCACTAGGCGAACTAGGTGATCGCCTAGAGCGGGCTGGCCCTTAGGGGCGCCAAACTGCACCCGGCCCCATACTTTGGGAGTTTCTTGATTATTTGTGTTTCTCATTCTTCCTAAAAATGCATTTATTTTTGAAAAATGGTGGGCGCATGGGGGGGGGGCGCCAGAAGGGATCCTCGCCTAGGGTGCAAAATAAGCTGGGGCCGGCCCTGTGGAGCGACAGGCCTGCTGGCAGAAGCGGCTTTAAGGATCTGACTATCACTTCTGAGACGCTGAAGGACCAGACTGCCTGAGTGCAATCTAACTTCAAAGAAGGGAAGGCAGAAATCTGATGGACAGAGCGATCCTACGCGGGGGGGGATGTTGGTTTTGCAGTTAGAAGAGCAAAGTTTGGGCGCTTCCACACACGTGCTGAAGAACGCAGTTTCAATCCACTTCAGCAACTGTTTGCAAGTGGGTTTTGCCATTTTGCTCCGTAACATCCAGTCGCAAAGTGCACTGGAAGTGGATTGAAAAGGCATTATTTAGTGTGTGTGAAAGCGCCCTTTGTGTCCAGTAGCATCTTGAGCACCAAGGAAGTTTCGAGAGTGTATGATTTTGAAAGTCAAAGCTCCCTTCAAAAAGCTTAGACCCTGGATTTCAGGCCTGTAGCCAGGATTTTGTGGCCTGTGGGGGAGATTTCTTTCTGGTGGGGCTGAAGTCCTCAGTGCAGAAAGAAAAGCCATTGAGCCAACAGAAAGCTGTGACCAGGAGAGATCTCTGAATTGCAAGCTGTCAACCACTTTAGATGACAGTTCTCAGCCGCTGCAAGTTAATCACTTCTACCAGCCGAAGCAACCATTCTGAGAACAAGCCGGCAGGTGGGAGTGATGACTCCTATAGTCAAGAAAGCGAACGCTTAGGCAGAAAAACTCTCTTAAAGGAGACCAGTTTCTTGACACAGAGTTCGAAGGGATCCTAGAGGTCACCTACTCCAACCCCTTGCTCAGTATGGGAATTAGTCAACTACAATACCCCCACTCTTCTTAAAAGAACATGTGTCTTTTAAAAATGTTTAAAAATGATTGAAAAAAAAGCATTTACAGGAGAAATTCTTGTGGGGCTGTGCCTCTAAGAAAGGGGCAGAGCCCCCCCAAAGCTGGAATTCTTATTGGCCTTTAAGGTGCTCCAGGACTAGAATCTTGCTGTCTTACGCAGTTACTCAACATGTTTTACACCAGAGGAAGTGCATACAACTATGCTGTAAGGCCAACTGGTGAGGAAAGGCAAGCTGACATTCTTAACAGCAAAAACAGGAGAACTATAGATACAGTACATATACAAACAAAAACAATTGCCGTAGAGAATAGTTATATTAATGAATATATAACTTACAGTTTTATTCCAAGTATTCCGTGACAACACTTCAATTAAGCCTTTTAATCTTTTTTTTCTGTTGTCTTAAAAAGACATACAGACATAAGTCTTAAAGAGACAAACCTTCATAAATATCTGGTAAAAGGAGTACAAAAATTCATAAATGGCTATGTGCCGATGATACTGGAAAGCGCTCCTGAGAAAGACACTTGAGAGGGTCTTCTCCAGTGAGGACTCCCTTCTCACTTGGTGGCCAAAGCATTTGAGCTTCAGCTTCAGTCTCTGGCCTTCCAGGGAACAGTCAAGGGTTGATTTCCTTTAGGACTGACTGATTCGATCTCCTTGCCGTCCAAGGGACTCTCGAGAGTCTTCTTCAGCACCATAATTCTTCGAAAGCATCTATTCTTCAGCGCTCGGCCTTCCTTATGGTCCCAGCTCTTGCAGACATACATGACTACTGGGAATACCATATTCATTAATATAACTATTCTCCATGGTAATTTGTTTTTGTTTGCATATATTCTTAAAAACTTTGCGCCGGTCACGAGGTGCTCGCCGCCACAGTCCTGGAGGAAAGCTCCAGGAAGCAAGCCCTGCCGTGGGATTTGCCTCTCGGCGTCCCCATTTTGGACTCGACCGTCAGAGAGACACATTGGAGGGAGGGTGACATAGACAGCCACTGCTGTTGAAGATTAGGTGCCCCCTTCCGGGATTGCCTGGTTCAAAATAAGGGACTGAGAACACATGAATTTACCCAATACGCCATCTCTGACTCTCGGTCTGTCCGGCCTAGCGGAGGCAGGTTTCTCAGGGCTTTGGGCAGAGCAAAGGCCCTCCCCAACACCCTCTTCTCTGAGACCTTTAAACTGCAAGGTCGGCAACAGAACCCGGATGGGATGCTCGGCTCGCGGAGACAGTGCTCCGCCACGGCTCTCTGTCCTGTCCTGAAGAGCCTTACCTCAAGTGTCACATTGGTTCCTGCCCCATTTCTAGGCTCGCATCCAAGAGCAGCTCCTCCAGCTCCTTCTCGTTCTTGGAACAGCTCAGCTCTGAAAAACAGAGGGTGGCGGGGAAGAGTTGGGATATTCAGCCGGCCACAAATCCACCCGTACAGAGCCATGCGGGAAACGTCTATACCAGCGGTGGCGAACCTATGGCACGGGTGCCAGAGGTGGCACTCAGAGCCCTCTCTGTGGGCACGCATGCCATTGCCCCAGCCAGGCCCAGACGGTCATTAAATATATTCGGTGATTTACACCACCAGAGAGCTTTCCCTCTGGTAGCCCCTAGAGATTTCCCTGTCAATTTCACTCCCCCCCCCCAGTCAGCTGGGAGTGAAATTGACTAGGGAAAGCCTAGGCTCTCTGCCTTCCCTTCTCTAGCTGACAGATTGTAGCTGAAGAAGGGCAGGCAGGGAACCCAGGCATGTTTAAAATGTTTCTGAAGATTCGGGGAGTGAAAGAAAGGCATGCCCCCTCCACTTCCCCAATCTTCTCCGCACAAGCAGAGAGGCTCAGGAAGGAAGAGGGCATGTTTAAAATGCCTTTCTTTCCCTCCCCCACATTGGGGAGGGAAAGAAAGGCATTAAAACCAAACAGCTGACCGGTGGCTCAGGCAGCTCTTAGGTTTTTCGGTACAGCAAAATGAACCCAGAAAAAACCAGATAATTACGGCTTTTTTGGGTTCCTCTAGACCGGTAGCCAAATACAGAACTCTGATCTGTTTCCGGCTTATGTGATAACCGAAAAATACCGACAAGGTATTTTTCGGGTATTTTTTCGGTTCGGCTATAGCCAAATACACACTCCTAATGGTGGTTAAGTCGAAGAAAAAGGTAAAATCTCTTGATGTAAGTCCTACTGATGAATGGTTTTATTATGCTAAGTCATTTTTTGTTATGGTGTAGTTTATTATAAAAGAAGACATTATGACATTAATCTTTGTTATTCAGCTTGTGAATTGTATTCTATAGCTGGGGAATGTAACTGTTTGTGTTGTGGTTTTATGATTCTGTGTTCGCTGTTGCCTATGACTTGGAGTCAATGCATTAAAAGTACTTGATACATACGTGAACAATAACTTCGACAGAACCCATAAAGCTGCATCAGACAAATGGTCCATTAAAGTCAGTTTTGTCTACTCAGACCAGCAGCGGCTCTCCAGGTGGAGGTCTTTCACATCACCTCCTTCCTCGTCCTTTTAACCGGAGATTGAACCTGGAACCTTCTGCATGCCAAGCACATGCTCTGCCACTGAACTACAGCCCCACTTCATGGGTCGCTAGGGTTTCAGGCTGAGGTCTTTCACCTGGGTCTGGCCCTAAACGGTCTGGGACCAGCATATCTCCTGGACCACCTCTCCCTATATACCCCCTGAAAGGCATTACGGCTTTGGAGACAAGAACCTCCTGGAGATCCCTGGCCCAAAGGCTATTCGGCTGTCCTGGACCCCCTGGGGTTCACAGTAGAATAACCCAATTGTTTCTGTTCGACATTGGACTGCCAGGCTTAATCCTTTTTTGTACAAAGGACAATCCGGTTTGGGGCAGACCACCTATTTGTCATGAAAGTTCCGGGCCATTACCAGACGCTTGAGGGGGGTGGGCCTATCGTTTCATAGTTTTCTGATTGGAAGGGTAAGCCTTTGACATCAGAGATGGGGAACTGCATGGGATTGGTTAAGTAAGCATGTCACTCTTAGAGAGGAGTTTAGGTTTAGGGTAGACTACAGGGAGGGAATCACGGTGCTCTGCTGGCTGAGGTCTGGCAAATGATGCCCACGGATACCGACCAAGTCCTTTCAGAAAAAGGGTGGGGCCAGGAGGGGCTTTTGCTCAGCATGGCTTCTAATTGGCCACTGGAGATTTGATTGGCTGTGCAGATTTTTTTAAATGTTGCTCTGGTAGAAGCTGCCATCACAGGACAAGAATCTTCACTGGGTGAAAGAAGGTAAACTGTGGCAGCCATTTTGTGTCTGGCTGCACCTCCTGCGGAAGCCATTTTGTTGCAACCATTTTGCAGCCATCATGCTGTGTCAGAATTCCAAAGGTGCCTAAAGGCTTAAAAAAGTTGGGGAGCCCCGGGCTGTGGTCATGCGTGTGATGCCACAATATGAAGAAACCAAAGACCCTCTTTGTATAACAGAGAAACTCCTTTCCCACAATGCACAGTGCTCTTGGACACTCTCTCTCTCTCTCTCTCTCTCTCTCTCTCTCTCTCTTACCATGTTCCGCAGCGCAACTGGCCATTTTGCAGTCGCGCCCCAAGGACGCGTCCGGTAGTGCATGGGCAAAATCCGTCCTTAGTCCGTTAGGCAGCGGGACGCTGAGAACTGCATCTGTGCAAAGCCCTGAGTTCATCTTTTCGGGACCCAAGCCGGAGCTCGGTACGGAGGCCGACGTTTCGGAATTGGCCGTTGACACGGCAACAGTCTCGTTCACCCGCCCGTCCAAGCAGTCAGTCTTTGTCGGCCGGCTCCGGGCAGGAGGGTTTGCCTGCTGTAGTGGGCTGGCCTGCGGAAGTGGCCCACCCTCTTGCCGCATACTCTTTTCTTCCGCATTCTCCGGCAGGCTCTCCACCCGCGTCACCACGAAGATTTTGTGACCTCGGCCAGGGCTGGAAACTGCAATCCGCCTCTCGTTCCCGGGAGAGCTGGTTTGCGTTGGGGGCCCGCTCGTAACTCCCACTCTAGATTCACATTTTATTTCCTCTGTAGTGTGGACTCTGGTTTCAGAGCTAAGGGGCTCCTTGGCTTTTATGGGGGAAAGACACGGCTTGGGGGGATCGGTATGCTCCGGCTCCCTGCATTTCTGCAGCTGAGCAAGATCCTTCATCTCCAACTTTTCGTCGTCCTCTTCGTCCGTGTCCGAATCTGATTCGGAGGACTCGTTGTTGCCGTCGACGGCCGTCTTCTCTGGGGTCCCGTTCTCCTGGGATGTCAATGCCTCCCCGACTTCCTCTCCCTCTTCCAGCGTGGGTGTCGTGTCGCCATTGGGCCCGGAGACTTCCACGGGGCCTTCTTCGAGGGGTTCGGTGATGGTGATTTCGGGCATGGAGGCGGACTGCTGGAGCTTCTGCTCTTTCTCCTCCTTCTCTTTGGCCAGGACAAAGTTACGCTTGCAGCCGTTTTGGATTTCGGTCAGGAGGGCCTTCTGTGTCTCGATAAAGCTCTTCACCTGCAACGGGAGCAAGAAAGATAGCTGAGCGGAGGGACAAGGCACGATTGCGAGCGGTGTCGCTTGGAAGACACGAAGTGGCATCACTTACTTTGAGGCAATCATCGAGTGGCTTGGCCCGAGGAGGCGGGTGCTGCGACGAGCCACTGAATTTATAGACTCCTTTTGCAAACGAGAATCAAGGAGAACTGTACAACTTAAAACAGAGCCAAGCCCTACTCATGTCTGACAAAGGGAGATCTGACTCTTGAAAGCTCATACCCGGAAACTTTTCTTGGTCTCTAAGGCACTACTGGACTCAAAAGTAGCGCTTCTACACGACTTCCCTCTGAAACTATACAATTTAAAACAATACAATAAGAACAACAGAGAATATACAACCAACGGGGGGGGGGATGCATTAAAAACAGTTATCGTATGTAAAAATAATATCACACAGCTGCAATGCAAAACTGGCAAAGAATGTAATGAACAGTGTAAGACAGGGGCGGCCAAACTGTGGCTTGGGAGCCACATGTGGCTCTTTCACACATATTGTGCGGCTCCCAGCAGGGTGGCTGGGGAAGCGAAGGGGAGCCCTGCTTTTTTTTCCTTCCTTCCTTCCTTCCTTCCTTCCTTCCTTCCTTCCTTCCTTCCTTCCTTCCTTCCTTCCTTCCTCCCT